ACGGAGTGGACCCCACAAAAATGTGCATCCCCAAATCCTAACCTATATATATTAAACGAGAGCCTCATCCATGGCGACAAAATTTTGGGGTCACCCCATTCGACAAAAATATTAGGACAAACTTACCCCTCAACCAAAAAAATCTAAAAGCAGCCCAATATAATATATTAAATAATGCATGGGTAATTTGGTAATTTGGTCATCATAAAATATAATATAAATATAAGTGGGAAGAGAGAAAATATAAAAAAAATGAAAGGATAAGTGAAAGTTGATGGTGCCCATGTGAAGGGGAAAGAAAAATATAATAAAAAATAAAGAAAATCATGAATATTGTGTTTAAAACATTTTAAGAGACACGTAGTGCTGGTGATATATTAGTAAAGTTTTTTTTTTAATAGTTCTTTATAATAGGCTAGCAATAATGTGATTAAATAAGATGTTGTGAATAGTGATTTTGGTGTCACCAAGCCGTTCAAAACATCTTAAGAGGCGTGTAATGCTGGTTATAAAAAACAATCTTTCACATGCTAAATTACATTAAATTAGTTGCCAAATGATTTTTTTTAAACAAACGATATTATCTACACATGCACTATCAATAATGTGATTCATTCAGTTGTTCATTCAATATTATATGTGATTAAATTAGTTGTCAAATGATTGTTTTTTTTTTAACAAACAATGTTATCTACACTAAGGGGGATGGGGTGGGCTTAGTTTCACAATAAACTAGCAATAATGTGATTCAATCAATAGTTTATTAAATATTATTTTCTCTATTCTTAATGTAAATTATATAGAGACCGATTTTGTTATGTGAATTCAGCTACTTTAATTGGTTTATGAGGGGTATTAAATTAAATGTCAAATGATTTTTTTTTAACAAATGATATTATCTACACTAACAGGGAGGGGGTGGGCTTAGCCTCACAATTGGCTAACAATAATGTGATTCAATCAATTGTTTATTAAATATTATTTTCTCTATTCTTAATATAAATTCTATAGAAACCGATTATATTATGTGAATTCAACTGCTTTAATTGGTTTATGAGGGGTTTCTTCTACCATGATCTAAAATTATTCATTTACTTCAAATATTTAACTTTCCTTTTGTCAATTTACGCATATAAATACATTTAAAACGTGTAAGTCGCGCGTATCACTCCGTGATTCAAAAAATGCCTTTTGCACGTGCGTGAAGGCTAGTATGTATATAAAGCCAATGGAAAAGGTGAATAGTGATTTTGGTGTCACCAAGCTTCAACAAAAATACCCCCAAGACAAAAAACTTCAATAATTAATTTTTTTTGTGGTTTGTTTTTTTTTTTAAATTTATAAATTAGTACCTCATAATAACCTAGCAATAATGTGATTCAATTTCTCTATTTTTAAACACGTTCGAAACATCTTAAGAGGCGTGTAATTTCGATTATAAAAAATGTCATTCACATGCGGATAATAATGTGATTAAATTAGTTGTCAAATAATTGTTTTTTTTTAACAAATGATATTATCTACACTTAGGGAGAGAGTGTGGGTTTAGAATCACAATGAGCCAGCAATAATGTGATTCAATAAGTTGTTTATTAAATATTATTTTTCCTATTTTTAAACACGTTCAAAACATATTAAGAGGCATGTAATGCCAGTTATAAAAAAAGTCTTTCGCATGCAGATAATAATGTGATTCAATTAGTTGTCAAATGATTGTTTTTTTTTTAATAAATGATATTATTTGCACTAAGGTTGTAACAAACCGTCCCGATTGTGACGAATCAAAAAGGGTAACTTCGTAATTTCACTTTGGGTGGGATATTTTATTTTTGGATTTGCTTTTAGGGCCTTAATTGGTGAGCCACGTGGGGCCCACCTATTATTTTTATCCCCATGGTCTCTTTCTTCTTTGGCTGCCACGTGACAACTTTCCTTTACCTCATCTCCTTCTCTCCTTCTCCCCGAGCCCTCTCTCGCTCTCAGATCTCTCTCCTTCAACTCTCACTCTCATATCTCCCTCGCAACTCACACCCTCTCTCTCTCTCTCTCTCTCTCTCTCTCTCTCTCTCTCTACACCAGTCACCCACACTCAAAGGTCAATAGTGATTTTGGTGTCACCAAGCTTCAACAAAAATATTTGGATAAAAATACCCCCAAGACAAAAAACTTCAAAGGCATCCCAAAATAATGCATCAAATAAGGCAGGGGCATTTTTGTCATTTTAATAGTATACTTTTAATAATTAATTTTATTTATTTATTTATTTTTAAATTAGTACCTCACAATAGCCTAGCAATAATGTGATTCAATTTCTCTATTTTTAAACACGTTCAAAACATCTTAAGAGGCGTGTAATGCCGGTTATAGAAAATGTCTTTCGTACGTGGATAAAAATGTGATTAAATTAGTTGTCAAATGATTTTTTTTTTTACAAACTATATTATCTACATTAAGGGGAGAGGGTGAGCTTAGCCTCATAATGGGCTAGCAATAATGTGATTCAATCAATTGTTTATTAAATATTATTTTCTCTATTCTTAATGTAAATTCTATAGAGACCGATTTTATTATATGAACTCAACTGCTTTAATTGGTTTATGAGGACTTTCTTCTATCATGATCTAAGATTATTCATTTACTTTAAATATTTGACTTTCCTTTTATCAAATTACGCACATAAATACATTTAAAATGTGTAAGTCGCGCATAGCAGACCATGATTCAAAAAATGTATTTCAATAACACCAAAATCAAAATAACAAACTGGGACGAGAAACTTGTGATTTAAGAAGCAGCTTCCTCTGAATAATCAACATGTCCAAGTCTTAATTACCAACAAGCACTTAATCCTGGAACCAAACCTCACGACCATGGTGCACAGTCGTGGTTTTGTTATGTTCTGCCATGGTCAAACTTATTTGTTTATTAGTGGTTTGGTCGTAATTTGACTGTGAAACCGATCCAAAATGTCTTTGCCCCAAAAATTGCAATTACTCCCAAACCACGAGTAGCCAAATGAGTCTTTGTCTTCAATGTGCTCAACGCAAGAAGAGACTACTTTTCCGATAAAAATCTTTTACTTGTGTTTTGTATATTGACTAAATAGTATTTCAAGTATTGTTTTAACAATGTCAAGTAAATTATTTATTAAATTGAGGAGGAGCTACAGTCAAATCTTTACCACTCGATTTTGCTACATTTACAACTCAACAACTGAGCTGATTTTGGGTTTTTTTGGGCCCAACGTGAGATTCAGTGTTGGTTTGGGCAGTGGCTGACACAGACCACCGAAGAGGTTCAAGGCCTGAAAGGGCGCATGCCCTTTTTGCCCTCTCTGCATTCCAAATCTAACGGATGGATTGAAAAAGGCATGGGTATTTTGGTCATTCCGTGTTGGGGTGTCTGGGTCGATGGGATTGGGGGAGTGGATGAGGATTTTCGGTTTGTTGCAGAGGGTGAGGATCCATTTTGTTTCTCTCTGAGCCGAAGTGGGAGTGGGTGAGTGTTTAGCAATGAGAGAGAGAGATGGGATTGGGGGAGTGGATGAGGATTTTCGGTTTGTTGCAGAGGGTGAGGATCCATTTTGTTTCTCTCTGAGCCGAAGTGGGAGTGGGTGAGTGTTTAGCAATGAGAGAGAGAGAGAGAGAGAGAGAGAGAGAGAGAGAGAGAGAGAGAGAGAGCTTAGGATGTTAGTGCCCCAACGTTTGATTTGGTGACTGGGAGGGTGACAGTGAGAGAGAAAGAGAATGGGTTGTCGGGTTTTCAGGGTAAGAAACAGAGAGGGAAGGGTGGGGATGGTGAACAGGCCCGAGCATGGTCCCTCAGTCCGGGATTCACTCCCGATCATCCATGCCTTGTTGCATGTTCAGATAAGTCTCTTTTTCATTTGGATTTTGAACTAAAATCTTTTATTTATTTATTATGTCTTGCCTTTATATCTGCTAACATATGGTGATTGAGAGGCCAAAATTATTTTACAAATCTTTTCCCTCAGTCTGGAAAAATACTTCAATTTTCTGGTAATCTTCTCCCCTTTCTGTAAATTATGAATTTAATTGTCTTGTCTATATAAATTGATTCATACGTAACACGCTACATGTTTGAAATTCCAATAACCTTGTAAAGAGGATTTTTATGTTCATTTTAAGTGCAATTCATATAATTTAGGAAGATAGTTTGATATAGCAGTGGTCGTGGGAGTCTTGGTTTCGTTTATTAGATTAGCCAATCTCCCTGAAGAGGTGAAGAAGGAATTTGAAGATCCTCATAGTAGGTAAGGCAATTTAGTCATGTCCTTATGTTTTGATTTCTCTTGAGCCACCAGGCTAGCCGCATGGATGTATTCCTCCTTATCTTCCTCTTAGCCGCCTTGTATTAGGTACAATTTTATATGGTGTCGTGGAAAAGAGAGGCTCAAATCTGGAAAGCCTGGTATCACCTTATATTCTTTTGTTTTATAGTTTGTTTTGTCAGAAACTCTAACAACAACTTACGATTTGCTTTTCGTTTGTGTTTTGTTTTTATGTTGAAAGCCTGGTATCACCAGACGAATCTCTAATTCAAAGGTAAAATTGTATAGCAGCATCAATGTCTAAGGTCACATCAGACCAATAATTGTTTGGCCAAACTGTTGTATTTGTCGGTTACTAATAATTAGCATTCCCTTTAGAGCAAGTCCACCTCTATGGACTTTGCGCCAGCACCCAGCGCATTTATCCACTCAAGTGATCAGTAATAGACTAGAGTGAATAGTAATAGGCCAAGGCATCTCCACCCCTTAAAAAATGCGCTAGCAGCCAGCGCATTTATTTGGTGTGTTTTTTTTTTTTTTTAAGTTTATTTCGGATAAGATTCTTAACCAATTTCGGATAAAATTTCAAATAAACGTAAAAAAAATTACATACTCATCAAATAAACTTAAAAAAAAAACACACTAAATAAATGTGGTGTAAGGTGGAAGATGAAGGTTAGGTATTTATAGAAAAAAAAATAACTTTTTTTTTTAAATTTTACTGTATTTTAAAAAAAAATTGTATTTTTTTTATATTTTTTAATTAATTTTAATGTAGTTAATTAATCTGGACCGTTGGATTTGAAAAATATTCAAATCCAAGAGCCCAGGATCGACCACATGGCCATGCGCCAGCAAATGGCCCGGCTTCTTGGTCAGCCTGTTTTGTGCTAGCCCAGAGACCAGCATGGGCTGGGTGCCAGGCTGTTGTGCAGGTTGGAGGATATGGACAGGGTGATGGGCTACTATTTGGACTAAGTGCTGGGCAAAGTCCACTCCGGTGGACTTGCTCTTAAGGTTGTATAAAGTTAGTCAGGCCGAATTTTCTTTATGCTGGGATATATTTAGCATCATTAACCTATTTGAAAACTAGTTTTGCACAAACACAGCATAATCTTTGTGAAAGCATGTATTTGACCGACATGTAAAATAATTTCTACATGTTTTATGTAAATGGTTATTACATATCTATGCATAATGCTTACGACACATTTAGTCCCTTATTCTAAGATTCTAACACTTAAATACAATACTTATAATTCAAATAGTCCTAGAAGAATAGAAGATTACTTCATTTTTTTTGGCTTTGAATATGAATTTCCAAATTTAAGCCTCATCATATCTAAATGAGGACATGAGTGGAAATTACTCATGTATGTCTTGGATAATACATTCACCACCCGTAGCTAATTAGAAATGTAGGGTAGAAACGTTCAGCACCAATCACGAATGATGTATCTAGAACCACCAATGAAGAGAGAATTGGAGTGGAGCACAAGGAATACGCCCCAACCATCAAATCTGGTCGAGAGCATCCCTTGTGCATCTGTTGACTATGCTGCCACTTCATCGCAGCACATTGGTGAGCAACCTATTCCAATTCCAATTCCCATTTCAAATAATATGTTGTTACCTCCTTTGGTGCAGGTACCTAATCGAATTCCAGGTGGTGGGAGAGTTCACGTTGACTTATGGAAGCAAAACACCACAATCAGGAAGGATCACTATCCTTTTCCATTCAAAAATCCAAAAGTATGAAGTGTTTCGAGGGGCAGGTTGTGGAGGAAATACCCCTCCATGCCGTGGGCCCCAATGAAGCTTAAAAATGAGGTATCGTTCTGCTGGAAGACGTTAAAGCAAGCGCTTCTTGGGAGGCGACCCATGTGTTCAAATAAAGAAGACCGAGGAAGCTCCGACTCCATAACCAGAGTTGTGTTCTTAAACTCTACTCTTTATTGCTTTTACTTTGCCATGATTGTCGTGATTGTTAGTTGTGTTGTTTGTTTGCTTACGTGTTAGTCTATGTTTGAAACATTGAGGACAATGTTTGGTTTAAGTGTGGGGGGGGTAAACAAAGTGTTTTGCATTGATTTTCGTGAGATTTTACCACCTAGCATTTCTAGAGTTGTTTTTCACTGTTTTTAAGTGTTTTTAGTGTGTTTTGAAGTGTTTTAGTGTGTTTTGAAAGAAAAATACGAAAATTTGAAAAACAAAATAGAAAACATTTTGAAAAACCCAAAAAGAGTCGTTTTAGAGTCGTTTTTGTGTGTTTGTGTCTTAGGGTACCTTCCAACACAATGATGAGGATTTGGTTTTTAATTACATGACTGTTAAAGAAAGTTACAAACATGGGTGGAAGTTTGATATGCTCTTTGGTTAATATTAGGTTGTAGTTGTCATTAACGAATTCACATGTAATCACAAGGGAAAAAAAATCAGTTTTTGTAACATGCTTGAAGGAAGGAACTCAAACTAATGCTACAACCATGAGAGACTTGAGCCTAAACTTTGTTTAGAGAGTTATTAATCTGTGATTTCTTGTTTTCTAAAGTCGTTGCATGATCTTATTGTTTCTTTGCTTGGTTGCTACTTGGAATGTTTTTTCATCATTTTAGTTCCAAATACTAGAACTCATGCTCGTTTCATTCAAAACTTTAAATTGAGTGCATAACATATAACAAGATGAAGTTGTTTAGTAGTTACCACCAGAGCCAAAAAGCCTTCATCCCATGCATTTGTTTTGTAGGTTTAACCCCTTTGAGCTTTATTTAACCTATTTTCTTTGTTAGCCACATTATCCCTACCTAGCCTAGAATAGGACTATCCATACCCTTGTTCTTAAAGTGTAGTGGAACATGACTTAGATGAAATTTCTTTTGAGCGACATTAGTGTAGAAAACAAGTGTGGGGGAAGGTTATTTTCAAGTGAAAAAAAAAAGAAAAAAGAAAAAAAACGTGAAAAAGAAAAAAAGAAAGAAAGAAAGAAGAAAAGTTGAGAAAAGAAAGAAAAAGAGTTCAAAATAAGTGAGAACGAATTCACAAGTATTGGTTGTTAAAGAAAGGGTCCAAAAAGTTTGAATATGACCCTAAGTTGTACGAAATCCCCTTAGTGTTTCAAGTTATTTGCTGCATTCAAGAGTGAATTCTAAGTTGATTTCATTGCTTTGCTTTCTATTGCTTTAAGAACGTTTGTCTATCCTTACCTTTCTTTGGTAGCCAATACCCTTAGCCCCATTACAACCCTATGACTTCTATCTTGGTTGTTGTGTGTTTCAATCTGTGGAGTTTGGGATTGGTATGAGCATATGGTATCCCTGGTTCTCGCATTTAAGTAGTGGCATTCCATTCATGAGATCATATATATACATGCATTAATAATTCCAGAAAGTACCTTCTTTGTTATAACGTATGTGAGTGCTAGTCTACATGTTTACATCAATCTTCTCACATATACCTAGTGTAGGAAGTGGAGTCAGAAAATCTGTGTGAAAATAGAGAGTATATCTAGTAAGGAATTGAGGGAATTCTCTAAGGCATGTTACTATATTCAAAACATTGTTTTAATTGATTAAATGCGAGCTAGTGAGTGGTGACTGCAATTAAGTATGAGCTCGAGGGTAAGGATAACTAAAATTTGTTGGAGTAGTGATTTTAAACGTGCCATGTTCCATTGGAAGTCCCTGAGGCAAACGTTGGAAGGTTTATGTTATGTTTTTTTTGTTTGCTTTGTTTTGCTTGAGGACTAGCAAAAGCTAAGTGTGGGGGAATTTGATAGGAGCATATTTATGCTATTTAGTTAGTTTGTTTTCTTGCATTTTCATAGTTAGTTTCTATTTATTATAGTGATTTAAGATATTTTTGTGTATTTGTAGGTCCAAATGACAAAGTTGGCAAGAAAGTGCAATTTGGAGCATTTTGGAGCAGTTTTGGGCCAATAATGGATAACACATGCATGGAGCAAGGTGGATGGACGTTTTTGAAGTTCAAGAGGCTAGGAATGTGCTGAAAAAAATGAAGAAAATAAAGTCAAGACAAAGAAAATAAGGAATCAGCTAAAAATAAGGAACATTATCCAAAACCTTATCTTATCCAAACTAACATTATCTTATCTTATCCTACCTTATCTTCAGCTGCAAAAGGAGTCCTTATCCTATTCTAAATCCTTCCCATCTGAATTTAGGAGTCTTAATCCATCTAAACACATTAATTCTTTTCCTTGCTGGAATCTGATGAGAAGTGTCATATTTCCTTGCTAATTTGGAGTCTTAATCCTCTTCTTTCACACCCTTGCCGTGCCTTCTCTCTCCCTATAAATATATTGTGTTGCAGCCCTCAGAAATCACCCACCATTCACCACAAATTCGTCCCATACATCCCTCATACACATTCATCCCATTGTGTCGCAGCTTTGCAAAGAGAAAGGAGATGAGAACCTTTGTCGTGCCCCTGCCATTCAAGATTGGATTGCTGGAGTGTTCTTAGGTGTTTTCTATCATTTATTTTCAATGTTTAATTTAAGTTGTCTTTGTTTAATTGCAAACATGAGGAGCTAAACTCGTTTTAGTTAGGGGGAAATTCAAAGCCATGAACATATTTGCAATATGAATTGATTACTTCTAGTTGTGATTTCATGAATCGTGAATGCAATTTGCTTAACTGTTTGATTCAAAACTTATTCTTGTTTGTTGGTTAAGGGTGCACACTTAGTTTGCATGCAGGGATTTGATGCTAAAATATATGGGAGTTTCACCTAATAGTTATGAACTTATATTTATAAGTAGTGGAGGTTGCTAGTCACAATCGTGTTAAGTGAATTCCTAGCAGAAGTATCATGATGTTCATAGTTACGAATGTCTTGTCAATACTTATGATTTTCACAAAGCTTAATGATCTTTTATTGTATCTCTATTATGTTGTTCATGTAGGGAACTATTGAAGAATAATTTGGTTGCCGATGCGTTGTCCATCCAATTCAATGACTTAAGGAAATTTTGAGGGTTAATTAGTGCTATCACGGTTAATCTGGGGCGTTGAGGTTCATGGTTTATTGGAAAAGCAACTAAAAATCGATTTGTATGCAAGTGTGTCATGTGTGGAGAAGAACCCTCTAACTAGCCAATCACCCATATTTTCCCCCAAATTCGTGCTAAATTTGCTTAAGTTTTTAATTTATTTGTCTTTACTTTAAATTCGTCAAAAACTCAATCCCCTTTGCTTTGATGTGTCAAGTTAGTTAGAATCTGTCCAATTTGTGTTTTTAAGTGTTTTGAATCAAGTTAAAATCAATTTTCGTCCAATTCACCTTCTAGTTTCTAGTTTGAGTCTATTTGATTGTTTTATGCTGGTTTGAGTCTTTTTAGTTTGTTTTGAGTTCTTTGAGTCTAGTTAAGTGTTTTCAACTTAAGTAGATTAGCAATCTCTCCTAATCCCCGGCCTATAACGATCTCTACTTACATCTTTACTATAATTGTCAATAAGAGGGTTTAATTTGAGTGTTAGTTAAATTTCACATCAAATTTTGGCGTCGTTGCCGGGGATTAGTAAAATTGCTAATCCCTCTGTTTTTTTTTTTATTTTACTTTTAATATTTGATTTAGTTTTCTTTCTTTGATTTTAGGTACTAGAGAAACAAGACATGGTTGCTGACAAACGAACAATCAAGGAACTTTCAGCCTCGGGATTGGACAATGTCGTGCCTCTTTGCATTCAATACCTTACAGCAGCCCAAGGCAAAACCAATGAGTTCGAGTTGAAGTCAAGCTTGCTACATCATATTCCCAAATACCATGGGCTGTCCATGGAAGATCCAAACAAGCATTTGAAGGAATTTGAAGTAGTATGCTCAAGTATGACACTCATCAATGTGGATGGGAATATTTTGAAAATGAAAGCCTTTCAATTCTCTCTTATGGACAAGGCTAAAGATTGGCTTTATCAATTAGCACCTGGAACCGTCACTTCTTGGGAAAGCATGAAGAGAGCATTCTTAGAGAAATTTTTCCCAACTTCAAGAGTCATTCTTTTAAGGAAGAAAATTAGTGGAATTCAACAAAGCTAAGGAGAATCATTTCCAACATATTATAAGCGTTTTAAGACGTTAGTTGATACTGCCCACAACATCAAATAAAGGAAAAGCTTTTAATTCAATATTTCTATGAATAACTACTTCCAATTGAAAGACAAATGCTAGATGATTTGGCAGGTGGTGCTTTGGTTAACAAAACCCCAATTGCAGCCAAGATCTTAATAGCAAATCAAGCCTTGAATGCACAACAATATAAAGGAGTTGGAGGAAGAGACCCCCACTACAGCAACAACAAGTGAATGAGGTAAGTGCAATTTTTGAAATTCAATCTCAATTGGCTAATCTCACTGTTCTTGTGTCATAGATTTTAGATGGATCCAAAGTGCAAGATGCGGCAGTTTGTGGTGTGTGCTCTATGCAAGGACATCTTAATGATCAATGCCCTCAATTGATAGAGAATGGAGAATGGGAAAGTGCCAATGTCGTGGGCTATCAAGACCAAAATCAGCCATGGAATGATTCATTCTCTAACACCTACAATCCGGGTTGAAGAGATCACCCAAATATGAAATGGAGGGAGCCTTAACAACCTCAACAAGGAGGATTTCAACAACCACCCCCTGGGATATATCAAAGGCCATTCGGACAATTTCAACCTCAACCACAAATAGCTCAACCAAACTCAGGTTTGCTATTTGATAATAATCAAGCTATTCAATTACTAACTTATATATCACAGGGATTACAAAATCAAAATAATCGAATAGCAAATCAAGACAAGGAGATGAGTGACATGAAGAAGCAAATAGGGTAGATTTCAGAGTTCCTTGGGTAATTTAGAGAACAAGGCAAACTTCCTAGTTCACCATTGTGAGTCCAAAGGGAGGCTTTGAATCTGCCAAAGCCATCACACTGAGAAATGGCAAACAAGTTGGAACTAACCCAAGACCATCCAAATCAAGTTAAAAAGAGGATGAGAAGCTACAATTCGAGGAAGAATAACAAGGTAAGGCCATGGCAAGGATTGAACAACCCTTGCCGCAACCCCCTAAACCTTCCAATTCGGCCAACTCAGATAAGGTAAGTCCAAATTCCATTAATTCTAACCCTATTCCACCCAATGCACCATTTCCTCACAGATTTATGCAAACCAAGAACGAAAAGGATGAAAAAGACATTCTGGAGATGTTTAGGAAGGTGCACGTCAATATCCCCGCTCCTTGATGCTATAAAGCAAATCCCGAAGTACACTAAGTTTTTGAAGAAGCTTTGTACAACAAGGAAACGGATTCAGGAGAAAGAGGTGGTACATCTAAGTAAGAATGTCTCTGTAATGTTGCAAAGAAAGCTGCCACCTAAATGCAAAGATCCAAGTAGTTTCACTATCCCTTGTGTAATTGGTAATACAAGGTTTGAACATGCTATCCTAGATTTAGGTGCATCAATTAATGTCATGCCATATTCTGTTTATGCATCTATGAATCTAGGAGAGCTTAAAAATGATGGTGTTATTATTCAATTAGTCGATCGATCTAATGCATACCCAAAAGGAGTGTTGGAAGATGTTTTAGTGCAGGTAGACCAATGCATCTATGAAAAATCAAGTGGTCGACCTGCACCAAAACATCTTCCAACACTCATTTCGGGTATGCATTAGATCGATCGGCTAATTGAATAATAACACCATCATTTTTAAGCTCTCCTAGATTCATAGATGCATAAACAGAATATGCCATGACATTAATTGATGCACCTAAATCTAGCATAGTATGTTCAAACCTTGTATTACTAATTACACAAGGGATAGTGAAACTACCCGGATCTTTGCATTTAGGTGGCAGCTTTCTTTGCAACATTGTAGAGACATTTTCACTTACATGTACCACCACTTTCTCTTGAATCTGTTTCCTTGTTGTACAAAGCTTCTTCAAAAACTTAGTGTACTTCGGGATTTGCTTTATAGCATCAAGGAGCGGGATATTGACGTGCACCTTCCTAAACGTCTCCAGAATGTCTTTTTCATCCTCTTCATTCTTGGTTTGCATAAATCTGCAAGGAAAAAGTGCATTGGGCGGAATAGGGTTAAAATTAATGGAATTTGGACTTAACTTATCTGAGTTGGCCGAATTGGAAGGTTTAGGGGGCTGCGGCAAAGGTTGTTCAATCTTTGTCGTGGCCTTATCTTGTTATTCTTCCTCGAATTGCAGCTTCTCTTCATCTTTTTGACTTGATTTGGATGGTCTTGGGTCAGTTCCAACTTGTTTGCCACTTCTCAGTGTGATGGCTTTGGCAGATTCAAAGCCTCTCTTTGGATTCACAACGGTTGAACTAGGAAGTTTGCCTTGTTCTCTAAACTGCCCAAGGAACTCTTAAATCTGCCCTATTTGCTTCTTCATGTCACTCATCTCCTTAAATCTGCCCTATTTGCTTCTTCATGTCACTCATCTCCTTGTCTTGATTTACTATTCGATTATTTTGATTTTGTAATCCCTGCGATACAGAAGTTAGTAATTGAATGGCTTAATCATTATCAAATAGCGAACTTGAGTTTGGTTGAGCTATTTGTGGTTGAGGTTGAGATTATGCAAATGGCCTTTGATATATCTCAGGGGGTGGCTGTCGAAATCCTCCTTGTTAAGGTTGTTGAGGCTTCCTCTACTTCATATTTGGGTGATCTCTCCGGCCCGGATTGTAGGTGTTAGAGAATGGATCATTCCATGGCTGATTTTGGCCTTGATAGCCCACGACATTGGCACTTTCCCATCCTCCATTCTCTATCAATTGAGGGCATTGATCATTGAGATGTCCTTGCATAGAGCACACACCACAAACTGCCGCACCTTGCACTTTGGATCCATCTAAAATCTATGACACAAGAACAGTGAGATTAGCCAATTGAGATTGAATTTCGAAAATTGCACTTACCTCATTCACTTGTTGTTGCTGCGGTGGGAGGTCTCTTCCTCCAACTCCTTCATATTGTTGTGCATTCAAGGCTCAATTTGCTATTAAGATCTTGGCTGCAATTGGGGTTTTGTCAACCAAAGCACCACCCACCGAGGCATCTAGCATTTGTCTCTCAATTGGAAGTAGTTATTCGTAGAAATATTGAATTAAAAGCTTTTCCTTCATTTGATGTTGTGGGCAGGATGCAACTAAGATCTTAAAACGCTCATAATACGCTGGAAATGATTCTCCTTGACTTTGTTGAATTCCACTAATTTTCTTCCTCAAAAGAATGACTCTTGAAGTTGGGAAGAAGTTCTCTAAGAATGCTATCTTCATGCTTTCCCAAGAAGTGACGGTTCCAGGTGTTAATTCATAAAGCCAATCTTTAGCCTTGTCCATAAGAGAGAAGGGAAAGGCTTTCATCTTCAAAAATTCCCATCCACGTTGATAGGTGTCATACTTGAGCATACTACTTCAAATTCCTTCAAATGCTTGTTTGAATCTTCCATGGACAACCATGGTATTTGGGAATATGATGCAGTAAGCTTGACTTCAACTCGAACTCATTGGTCTTGTCTTGGGCTGCTGTAGGGTATTGAATGCAAAAAGGCACGAGATTGTCCAATCCCGAGGCTGAAAGTTCCTTGATTGTTCGATTGTCAACAACCATGTCTTGT